TGGACCTGTTAGAGCAGTACTGCCAGACCTGGGCCCTGGCAGTAAACCTAAAAAAGACAAATGTAATGATATTTCAGAAAAGATCCAGATCTCAGGGAAAACAACACACATTTAGGTTAGGTATGAATAATATTCAGTATTCAAATAGTTACAGTTATTTAGGTTTAAACATCAGTTCTTCTGGAAATTTTAACTTGGCAGTGAATGAACTGAGAGGCAAAGCTCGCAGGGCTTTCTATGCCATAAAACAACAAATTCTTGTGGAAATTCCAATCAGAATTTGGCTAAAAATATTTGAATCAGTAATTGAACCTATTGCCCTTTATGGCAGTGAAGTGTGGGGCCCGCTTACGAATCAGGAATTTCACAAATGGGACAAACATCCGACTGAGACCCTGCATGCAGAGCTGTGTAAAATTATTTTAAAGGTGCACAGAAACGCCACAAACAACGCATGCAGGGCAGAATTAGGCCGATTTCCATTAATTATAAAAATACAAAAAAGGGCAATCAAATTTTGGACACATTTAAAAGACAGCGACCCTCACTCATATCATTATAAAGCCCTGCAGTACCAAGAGTTGAGCAAAGACAACAGTCCCCTCACTCAGCTGGTCCTGAAGCACAGTTCAACACTAACACACACTAACACCTCACTAACACACACTAACACCCCACTAACACACACTAACACTCCACAGGCTCAGGACCAGAACACACTAGGAAACCTAATTAGAGTGAACCAAATTACAAAACAGCTCAAACTGAATTATCTCACCTATTGGGAAACCGAGTCAAACTCACAGAGTAAAATGCAGTGTTATTTGGCCCTAAAACGTCAGTACAGTGTAGCAGATTACCTGAGCACACTGACTGACCCTAAACTGAGGTCCACCTTGACGAAGTACAGACTCAGTCAGCACCGTCTGGCCATAGAGACAGGCAGACACAGGAAATCTTGGCTACCAAAAGAGGAAAGACTGTGCCAGCAGTGCCAGCAGAATAGGCCTGAGACAGAGCTGCACTTTCTGACTGAATGTACCAAATTTACTCAGATTAGAACAGAATTCTTCAGTAAAATCACCAAAACATGTCCTGTATTCGAAAATCTTCCCCCCACAGAGAAGCTGCCGTACGTTCTAGGAGAATATAAAGAGTTCTGCACACTGGCAGCGCAGTACGTTCACACCTGCCACACTCTGAGGGACAGTGAGTGACCACACCATGTCAGAGATTCACACCTATAAACACATACATTCTGCTTATTATTATTATTATTATTATTATTATTATTATTATATTATTATTATTATTATTATAACACCTGCTATATCTGTTATTGCTTTATATCTGTTATTGCTTTATATCTGTTACTGCTTTTTGTATATGTTGTGCTTTGTTCTTAATCTCCCAACAAAAGCTTTGGCAATACAAGTGTTAATATTTGTCATGCCAATAAAGCAACATTGAATTGAAAATTGAGAGAGAGAGAGAGAGAGAGAGAGAGAGAGAGAGAGAGAGAGAGAGAGAGAGAGAGAGAGAGAGAGAGAGAGAGAAAGAGAGAGAGAGAAAGAGGGGGACGTGCTGCACGTGCAGTTCCAGCAACTTATTAACACACTGGCCGCAGTGCCCTGGAGAATAAGAGGCACACTCGCACTCACAGGTGTTGACAAGATGGTCGAAAAGGTCCAGAACCTGCTTCAAAGTTAATCAGCTGGAGCGGATTATGGATGCAACTGATCTCTGTGGACGGACCTGATCTCTGTGGACGGTTCCACTGGTTTTCAAACTGTGGGTCGTGGGGTGGGGAACATTGAGATGCAATAAAACTGCATCAATGAGTACAGTACTACAGTACTGTGCAAAAATCAGGCACCTGAGAAAATGACATTAAAAAAGCTCTGATTAGGAAAAGGCTAAAATTAGAATAAATACAAATAACAAATAAAAAAAAAAAAAACTGTGCTTATGTACGTCAGTATTTTGGTTGACTATTTCCAAAGCCGTCCTCGAGGAAGCCAGGCATTACTACTAGTAACCACCCAACACCTTTCTCGGCTAATCAATCCTTCATTAAATCAGGTGTGTTTGTGATAGAATTGAACAACTCCATGAGAAGACTGGAGACATCGAGGAGACATCTGGAACCAAACTTCTAACTAGCTCAAAGGATGTTGATTGATACTGATAAAGAAATATAATGACTGGAAAATTATTGCAGTCAGCTTAAATAACGGCTCGTCTCAAATAACTGATGAGCTGATTACGTAATAACTGTCACAGGCATAGTTATCAAGTGTCGTGAGAACGACGACAGCAAGGCTGCACAGTCACCGCATACAAAGTTTTTGCTTTTGCTACAAGGTACATGCCACAAGACACACGTTCAAAACACTCAAAATATGTTGCGCTTCGCCACTGTGTCGTATCAGTGCTGGTATAAAACAGGCTTGCTTTAGCCTAACTAATCAACGGTAATCACAATACAGAACTGTCTATTCTACTGAGCTAGCTGACATTTTTGGGAACCCCTGTTTGAACAGGACAAGTAATAAAGATTGTGTGCTACAGTATCTTATAATGTTGAATGGAGTTTTTTGCCAACAATCTGTAAATCTTTTTCAACCTTGTAACAGCTACTAAGAAATGTACATATAACTAAGAAAACTTACAACACACAGAAGCCTATCTGAAGCTAAGAAGGTGGGCTCTGACCCAGTTTTCCATCAGCTAATGGCAGATTAACAGTCCCCGCTCATATTTGTGCGTTGACCAGGGACAGGTCAGTTTTCTCCTTGCATTACCAAACTTCATATAAACCACAGTGACAGGTAAAACAAGACCGCAATAAACTGTATGACCTCTACAAATTCAACTATAATATTCAGCAGCCCAGAAGCCGCTCTGCTAGCTGCACTGCTCTGTTAACTAGTTTTGATGACCCATTCATAATTCTGTTCACGAGCCTGTTCAAGGAGGAGAAAGAACAGATGAGGGGAGACAGAGAAAGATGAAGGGATGAGAAGGAGTAAGTCAATACGGCACATCAAGTCCACGGCATGGTGGCTCCTCGCTTCCCTTATTAGGCAACATGACCCAGATGGCAAGTCAGCAAGCACACCACTGTGCTAAAAAGGATGCTGGGATGCTAAAAGCCTCAGTGGATACCAGTAAGGGCCAGAGAAACCAGAGAAAGGAGAACACAACATCTGAGTCAAATGTTAGTGCTTGCAACTCATAGCCTTTTCAGAGAGACAGGAAAAAAAGTCTATTTGGATGGAACGGAGAAAATCTTATTTAAATGAAATTACTTCTTATGATAAAATTATTTCACAGATCTTCCAGATATGCTAAAGGTGGGGTGTCAGTAATTTAGAATGGGGAAAAAAAAATACTCCTCATATTCCAGCTGTCCACAAAATATATACTCTGAGAAACAAATTCAGTCTCTGTGGCTAGTGCAGGCTCATTTTGTTCTAAACTGTGTATGTAGCTAAGCAGCTAACAATAAGAAACACTGATAAACTGGCTAACGTATTTGCCCACCAGCTTCAGAAGCATTTCAAATCCAACAAATGCTGTAAACAGCGAGAGGTGACGATACACACTTGGTAACATACTTCTCAGCTCAAGATGCTCTTAGCTCAGAAAATCCAGCAAGTCCGACCATCAACCCCTCATCCAGCAATGCAATAAAACCTTCACATTTAAAGCATCAAAAGGTGTACACATTGCAGAACTGCAAACCTGTATTTAATTGGTCTTATGTGCAAGCCAATCTCAGTTCTCTATCTCAGTTACAGAAACAAAGCCTAGTAGAAAATCTCTTTTCAGTACATGGGCACAAATCAAACTGGACATCTACACTGCCAGAAATGAGAACTGCTAGCAATGCTAGTGGCTAGTATAAGGTAGAGGGTCAATCTCCAATCATCAGGTAAATATAACAGCATAGCATGGTTTCATTAGCAAACAGTGAACCCCTTTAAATTGTAACACCACTCATTCTCATGACTGGCTCAAATTTTCATATGAAAGCACTTTGTTAGATCTAAGTTGGCTCTCTGTTTATGTTGTATTCAATGTTCCAAATTACTCAGTTACTTCAGCTTACCATCTAGTCAAGGTGTTGTCCAGCCAAGTTAGCAAGGCTTTAACTGAAGTACAATAGACTGGACTGAAAGGGTGTGGTAACTGAACTGACAGGCCTGATATCCAAATGAGGAAAACAGAGCTCTTGGAGAACAAAATGTGAATTCAAAGCATCTGATATCAAACAGAAATGTAAACCTACTTCAAAACTTTAGCAAACACAGGAAATGGGGCAGTGTGCAAATTTCAAGTTATCATCAGCCAACAAAAATGACAGTAAAAGGAACACACCACCAACGAACAGAACATACACTATATGCTTAATCCATGTGTGAAAAGAAGATATTTATGACACATATACAGTACTGTATAAAAGTTAGAGACCACCACTCATTTACTTGAGTACAAGTCAAAATGCCCATTACAGTACAAATTATTCATCTTCAGGAGATCCTTCTGAGTAGGTTAGATTTAAGGTACTCCACACAGGGAAGGGAAAAGTCAAATGAAAAGTGAAAAAAAGTGTTTCCAAAACCGGGCTTCAAAAAGTTATTAAAAAGACAGAGAAAATGACAAGACTCCTAACAACTGTGCAAGACCTCAGAACAATGCGGCTGTCCACCCAGACTGAGTCCAGACCTCAACATCACTCAATGTGTTTGGAATTACGTGGACCGTAAAAGGCAGACAATTCAACCAACTTCTAAGACTGAACTTGTGTGGAAAAATCTCTGCAAATAGTCATTTTGACTGGAAATTAAATAAGTGAAGGGTGGTCTCTGACTTTTGCACAGTACTGTAGATAAGATCAATAACAGGACCCTGATGCCTTACAGTCACACTGGATAGATACACCACTCTACATTTTATTCTTAACTTCTGCTTAAAGAGCAGGAAAGCAGACATACCTTGAGGCTTGACTCAAAGTCTGTATTAACTTTAAACATCAGCCCCAACCGCAGATGGATCTCCTTGGCTCTTGAGAAGCTGGGGTCAATGTAAAGCACCTCCTGAAAGGCCTTTATCGCCCTGCAGAAGACAGAAAAGCAGAAAGAGCATTCTGAGTGAAAGGCACACTCCCCCACAAACACTTACTAATGTTGCGCTATGAAAGCCGTTTCTGACACCATATGTTGAACAAAATTCCTAAACACAAATTCATATGATGACTGATATACTGCAATTTACAATCACATACACATAAGCTATCATTTTAGCATGTCCAGACATTTTGAATGGAGAGAAGAAGTAGTGGCAAAACAGTTACCATGGCAACACTGCCATGTCTTGGCCAAAACATTAGTAAAGACATGTAAGTAGGTATAATGACCATGAACAAAGCACCAAACAACACAATGATAATTAAACATGAGCAATGCATCTGTCAAAATGAAGAGGACCGTGTGGTCGACTCACAGCAGTGAGTTCTGCTTGCTTATGCACCCTAAGCGAATGCAAACACAGGCTGTTTCTGTGAGCGGGGCTCACTGAACTCATTGAACTCACATCCTCGTTTCCCCTCCCCACTCTCTACTGCATTCACTGCAGAGCGCTGTGTGGCTACTGATGCCAAACTGTGGAACAGGCTGCACACGACAGCAAGGCTTTAACTATAGGACAAACGAATAAACGCAGCACAAGAGAAGCCTCTATTAGAGGGTCATCAGAGGAATTACTCAGCACAGAAAATCTGTTCATACAACTACTGAAACACAAAATGCATCCACACGTAATCGGCAGCTCATTTTGGTCTGCTTGTCAATGCTTATCTTGCACATATTCAGAAATTTTTGAATTTCTGGACCAACAATGAAAAAAAATTCTGACTAATTTTGATGTTCCAGTATCCATAAGAGTTAATGAACAGATATTCAGTTAACTGAATGGAAGGGTGGGGTCAGGGAGAATCTGATAAATAAAACACTAACATGTCGGCTCTGCTGTTAGTGGCACAAAACATCAAGTAGTACAAAACAGTATAGCAGTCTGCTAGCCTGCTAACACTAGAGCTAACTGGATGCTGATGCAAACTCTTCATCTTCTAAATGACTCCTTTTGTTCTTAGTGACGAATGACGATGTGCCAACAAGTTAGTTTGTCAGAGAAATATATTCTCACTGTTTCTGGGCTTAACTGACATCAGCATATGTTCAAATCAATTAGGCCTTTATTAAAAGTAATTTATCCCACTTAGTAATAGCATCCAAATGACATTCTAGCAACAGGTGCAAGACCTCTAAGCTCTCTAAGCTAATAACAAATGTAATAAGGTAAAACAGGAAGTGAGGAATGTGAAGGAGTGTGACTTTAAACTTTTAGTCTTACGTTAGCTTGAATAAAGGCACTGAAAAGCACACTATTTTTCACAGACTGCGTAAACTGGGCCTCTGCAACTGCCACAATCACAATCATAAGGAAAACGCACAACAAGCTATCAGAGACTAAAAGTTATTAGAGATGCAGTTATAACTTTTCAGACAGACACCTGATCCTTAAGTACTGGCCCATACCAAGTACCGATACAGATACTAACTCCATATAACCTAACTAGCTAGAATCCAGATATTTATATAATTCCACTTTTTCAGTAAAATAACTATTTTGATAAAAGCCATGGTCTGTGTCAAAAATACAACATAAGCTTGAATACAGTCACAGCTGTTTTTAGTAAAATTTTTTGTATTTCTCGACCAACTACTCCTTTCATACATCTCTAACACTCACTCCCTCAATAACAACCTGGACTAAAACTACCTTCACATATTTCAAGCCTTGTTGCTCAATTCCGGTTTTTTACTCATTTCAGATCTTTCCAACATGATGGTTCACATTTGTGTAAGTATAGGACTCAAATCTGTCATTACTGTGAACGAACCTGGGTCTTGGGACGACCCACATGAACCCGAACCATATGCGTCATAAACAGCATCTTCACAAAGATAATTAGCTCTAAATCGCTCTCAACTGTTTTAGAGCAAGACGAAGAAAAAGGATGAGGCGCTTTGTGCTTGGTGCTGTTTCCTGTATCTAACTTCAGGTGGTGCACTCCCAGTGGAAAAAACTCACAAGAACTTTGATCTGAGTGTTGCTGGAGATGTACCCAATTTAAAACCACATATAAAAAAAGTGGCTCAGGTCGGATCTGAAAATATCACTACCTTTCCATGAAATAGTGGCGTTACAGATTTTATCAACCCACACTGCCAACGTGTAAAGTTCCACCTACGGGCGCACATGTGCCACTCTGCAACATGCTCAGAAATGGCTTCATGTTATTGGTATCCACATCGGAAATACCGGTATTGTGTTTAAGTTCCAGTACTGGTGCTGATATAGATATGGTATCAGTACAATCATAAAAAAGTATTGTAGTCAATTTTACGTTAAACAAATTAAAAACAAATTAAAATGTAAATAAAAATCATTCCAAATTTGCTGTAAATTTCCTCCAACAAACTTACCCCAAGCTAGTTATAGTTGAAGAAATTGCTCAAAACTTGACAATATTGCTCAACTGTGCTCATGGATAAACTGCTTTGCTTAACTGTTCTATTAACTGCTTCATTAAGCTACAACCCAATTTCCAAAAAAGTTGGGATGCTGTGCAAAATGTAAATAAAAACAGAATACAGTGCAAATCATTTAAACCCTCTATATAATTTAAAATAGTAAAAAGACAACATATCAAACATTATAAAATTTTATTGTTTTGTTTTTTTTGTTTTTTTTTTTTAAATATATACCAGTTTTGCCTGGTGGAACATCTCACAACTAATCAGGTCAATTGGCAACAGGTCAGTGACATGACTGGGTTTATAGCATCCCAGAGAGGCTGAGTCTCTCAGAAGTAAAGATGAGGAGGGGTTCACCACTCTGTGAAAGACTGCACGGCCAAATAGTGCAACAATTCAAGAATAACGTTTCTTAATGTAAAACAGCTTTTCATCATCTACGGTACATAATATCATTAAAAGATTCAGAGAATCCAGAGAAATCACTTATGAAAGGGACAAGGCTGAAAACCAGTAGTGGATGGTGGTGATCTTCAAGCCCTCAGGCGGCACTGCATTAAAAACAGACATGATTCTGCAGTGGAAATCACTGAATGGGCTCAGAAATACTTCTGAAAATCACTGTCTGTGAAAACAGTTCATCACTGCACCCACAAATGCAAGTTCAAACTCTATAGGAATATATTTCACTTCCAAAACTACAGCAATTGGTCTCCTCAGTTACCAAACGCTTACAATGAGTGTTGTTAAAAGAAGAGGTGATGAAACGCAGTGGTAAATATGTCCCTGTTCCAAAATCTGCGAAACATGTTCCTGTCATCCAATTCAAAATGGCCATATACTTTTCAAAAAACAATAAAATCTCTCTTTTTCAACATCTGATATGTTGTCTTTGTACCATTTTAACTGCATATAGGGTTTAAATGATTTGCACATCAGTGCATTATGTTTTTATTTACATTTTGCACAGCATCCCAAATGTTTTGGAAATGGGGTTGTAAACAGTAAAAACATATTTCACATCTTTGTACAACACTTTCTTTAATTGTATTATCAAGCTAAATCAAAGGGGGGAACAAAAAATTAAAAAAAAAAATAACTAAAGTAGAGAGAGTAATGAAAATTGTTGCCTCTGATTATCTGTCAAGGCACATTCTGTATACTAGATAGTGTAATATGTTTAGTTTATGTAAATTACATATTCTATACATTTCAACAATAAAAGTGTGTAGTTTTTATGTTTAGTACATCTATTCACAAGCATAATCGACACTTCAAATTTGAAAATTTGGTCGGTTTTTGGCCAGGTGTGAATTAAATTCTGGTGTCAGGCATTTTCATTTTCATTGCTTAACTACAGCCTATGGCTTCAATTATACACACACACAAACACACACACAGCTATGCGTCATATTCTGTCTCAGCCTCTCTGGCCTCGAGAAGCTGACTACTGTTGTCACAGTGCCAAGTTCTCTCAAAAGGCCTCTCTAGGAAAGTTAAATCCCACTGCTGGGAAATGTGTGTGAGTGTGTGTGTGTGTGTGTGTGTGTGTGTGTGTGTGTGTGTGTGTGTGTGTGTGTGTGAGAGAGAGAGAGAGAGAGAGAGAGAGAGAGCGAGGGGGGGGTGCAACAGGTCATCTGAATTTCTAACACAGAGTGCTGGAGGAAGATTACCTCATCAGTTAGAGCAAAGAGAATGTAGGAATGTATGGCTAAGTCATGAACTCTGCAGAGCTAATGTATAATCCCCAGCCTCAAGAACCAAAACAAAACCTAGAATAAAGCTCTGCATTTACATCAAATAAATAATTCATCAAGATAAAGGTGGTCCTGAGCAGGGTGCTTGTAAGCAGGGGCTTGATTATTTCTCCAACATTGTTTTCTTAAATGTACACTGTTTTACAGCTTACAGCTTATATTAACAGTTAATCATGAATGTGTTAAATTGATGAAAAAAATGCACATGGTCATGTCTGAGCATGTCTGAGGCATACCCTTACAAAACCAACACGGCATGCCTACCTTCTCTGTCCAGAATAGGCATCTGAGGAGGTGGGCTGCACTGGCCTAAGACAAAGAAAGAGGGCACCCCCAGTAGTAAACACCAAAAATATATGCATATTTGCCACTTAAAATAATTTCACTAAGCAAGCTGCTAAAAGCAATTAAGAAGCCTAACATTTTTGCAATGCAAACATCATTAAAAAGTAAGTAAATAAAAACAACATAATGAAAAGCCTATGAGCATCAAAGTATTATGAAGCCCCCTCCTCCTTTAACTGTCTCACATTTTGCTCTTTTTTGAGTTACAACTGGCACGTGGCCAATTAAGTATGAACAGTTAAGGCCAATTTAACATGGCCAACAGAACTAACACCTTACTAGCTAGTACAATCTTAAAAAGTATCATTTAACATACACTTCATTCATTTTTTTTCTCCTCCAGATCAACAGGGACATGACTTGAAACTTGGCATCTTACTGAAGACCATGGTTAACTAAGCTAACAAACCACAGTGTTGAAAGTGTGACAGCTAGTACTCAGTTAAAAAAAAATATATTGCTAATCTGTGCTACCACTGTCCAAGTGGAATCTTGTGCTTAAGTACGGAAGGCCATCCCTTCAGATGAGCTAATGGTCTGGCGTTAACACTAGAGCTAACCAGTGTAACAGCAGATGATGACTTGTCTTCTACACAAAGTTTATTCTCAGTGAAAAGATATATTTTCATTGCTGTTGGTTCTAGCCAACACCAGCTACAACAGTTAGCTTATCTACCATCCCACTACCACTGCCTTCTCAATCACGTCTTTAACAAGTCTCTCACAGCGTGCTCTCATTAAGGCACTCGTGGTAGCAATGTATAATACAGTATACTTAATTTTAAACACACAAAAAAAAGCTGGCACAGTTTACAGCTTTATGAATAGTGATTTCAATATTAACCGAATTTTACTCACACACTCATGCACATCATTAATCATTACCAGAGTACGATTAGTGTGGATAATCAAATGAATCAAGAACATGCCAAATCTGAATTTCTACTTTGTGTGTTACTGGGTAAAGAGCAATCTAGCAATTTCAGTCTCTTATGCTCACTCAGCATGCATAAACAGATCATAATACCACTGTTTCTTTACCAATATAGATACAGATTGTAAAACCTCAACATATCAGCTAATACTGATACCAATATTTTGTCTTTAAAAACTACTAATCTTTAAAATTTGCTGTTGTTAACTGTGAGCACTTCACTGAAGATGACCATCTAAAAGTAGGCGGAGGAGGCATGCTGCAACTACTTAAAACACTCTACTACCCCACAAGAAGGAATACACAGCTAACAACACATCACACAACGTGAGTGTGTGTCGTTTCAGATGGATCTGATACAGAACTGGACTGGATTTGTCCTTTTTTCTCCTTAGATATCTGATACAGATTCTTCTGCTGATATTGGCCCAATACAGATTGATACCAATATGCCATTGACTGATTCTAGAAGTCAGAATCTATTAATATTAATACCAACAGGAGTTTTAGTATAAAAAGGAAACAAGCTGGTAAGTGGTACCACTAAGTGGTAAAATTCTCAATCAACTTTATTCATAGCTGTCATGTGTCGTTATAAATTTAAATCCTCACAGTACAACCACTTGTGAAGACTTCAAATCAAACACTAAACCAGTGCGCAGACAGGCATTTAGCAGATGGCAGGTTATTTTAAGCCTTGTGCTGCTCATTCCTCAAGACCCATACTTTCCAGTCAAATAAATGTTGTCAATTTGTGGTCACGTCATCTGCCTGATTTTTAAAAATTTCCCAGAACACTCTCACTGATTAAACACGTGACCAAGTACTGAAACATTACCAAACATTGAAATATTATAACATTTCAACAAATCCACCACATTTAATAAATGGGAGTGCAACATTTACTATTACAACAAAGCAACAAAACACCTGCACATGAATCTATGAGTTAATATGTGATATTAAAAAGATAAAAAGCAGACCTGACAAATTTGCACTCTCAACATACTTTACAATGCATCATTGTCTACTGCAGGCTGCTGTGTACTAGTGTCTACATAAGAACTGAATCCAGCACTGTCAGAGAACAAAAATAAAAGAAATAAATAAGATATAAATAGAGGTAATAAACTATACATTTAAAAAATATGGGGTTTGGTGTCTGTAAATGTATAATGAGCTTACTATGTATGTGCCAGAAACACTAGTTTTATGATCACACTCTAGGAATGTTTCCAGGTTTTACTTCCAAAATATGAAATATTTGGCACTCCACAGATGCTAATAAGAATATTCATTCTCAGAAAAACAGCTGTTTGGACATATTCAAGTTTCACAAGGAACAGCAAGACCACATTGTGATTCTTCTAACAGAAAACACTTCCTCACTGAAACACTCATCATCCTTCATTTAATTCAATACGCAGTTGACAATGTTAAAACACAAGCTCAAGAATTAACCAAACAAGTACATCACAGTACATCACACCAGATCACAAAGCACATGCACTGTAAATGTGTAAAAAACTGAAGTACTTACCATTGAAATGCATTGTAATGGAAGTAAACCACACCAAGGCCATATAAAAAGGCAGCATTCTGAAAAGAGGACAGAAGACAGTTAGAAACAAAATACAGACTTGGGCTATATCATTCACTCAAAAAAATGAGCAATTATCTAAAGAAGGAAAGCCACTGTTATGTGAATCTGTTGAATGCATTTTCAGATTCAGACTTACAAATATTCCATAGCTCAAATACCCAATACTGTTTAAAACATCTCTTTGGTCTAATAGGAAGGAGAACATCAGAACTCGTGTAGAAATCAAAAAAGTTCAATATGGGCCGAGGCTGACACCAAGTATCGGTAGACAAGGACGCAGATTTCCAATATATTGGGCCTATATTAATGGGCCATAAATTTGAAGTTTGAATAGTGTGGAAAGTTTACAGGAATTTCCACACAAACCGAACATGAGTGAACATAACGTTTCATAAAGTATTACACATGATAAACAATATACATGGAGCCTTCAGAAAGTATAATGGGAATGCTGAGAGAACAATGAACATTTAAAAAATAAATAAATAAATAAATAAAAAGAATAATAATAAAAAAGCTAAAAGTAAACTTCGTGACAAAAAATAAAAAGTAATGCATTAATTCCCAAAAATCACACAAACCAAGCCCATCTAATTTTTCTTGTTATTTTTAATCTTTATTATTCCAAAGGTGTTTCATCCGTTACCATAAAGACCAGTTCATCAAGTCTTCAGTCCACTTGTGTTTTAAATGTTATTAGTTCGAAACCCAAATGCATAGACTGTCGTTCTTAAGAATTACTTTACTGTAAAATTACTGTACAGACAGGCAGAATGTGGCCAATCTAGGAAAAGAGAAGCTTCAGTCTGCACTATTTTCTCCCATGCACAGTAAGCTTACTCTCACCAATATATTAATTACTCTGACCATACGAATTTTAAGGTTTTATCTGGAACAAAAGTGCCAATTTAAGCAACAGATTTAGAGAAGTTCCATTTAAATAGTGGGCTGAACTCCTGTCCACGTTCACCAACATCAACAAACTATGAGAAAACCGTGTCGTTTTTTTAAGTATTTAAATGAGGAGGGAAAAAAGAAGAAAAATATGTTTCCCTTAAACCAAGAGTTACCCTGCACCAGCGACCGTACTTGCTCCATGACACTTGTTTATTCTGACTGACGCACAGGAGAAGCAGAGAACATTAGTCAGCCTACATTTCGGTGTGTTTACAATGATAAATAAATGTAGCACGTAAATATTTTTATTGACTGTCATCTTTGTATAAACACGCATTACCCTAGCAAATGATCAAATACCATTTATGTAGACAACATCTCTATTAACTTTTGACTACCACCAGCCATGACCCTCCTAGGGTTACTGCTGAGGAGAACTGTCCAGCACAGAAGTACAAATACAGCACGTGCTGTTTGAATGCTGTGAAAGAACTGTTTCACACCTTTATGCTCCAGTGTGTGTAGATTCTGTTCTTACCTAAGAACAAATCCCAAATAAGAGGTGAATGTCAGAATCTTTGTGAAAACTGCGTAAGTGGGTTTGAAGAAGAAATTTCTTCTGAAGAACAGTTGGTGAATGAGGCCCATTGTGTGAATGCGGCCAGTTTTAAAGGCTATCATCAAAATATCAGCAGTATATTTTTGAAAATTGCAAATGAGTTCTTCTCTGGAAGCCAGTATTATAGAGGAAGTGCCGTTTTTTCCATTTTTCCACCATGTATATGATTGTTATGTGAAAATGTTATCTGCTGCTGTGTTGGGATGCCTATTTATTAAATTGTTTTCTGACGTCCTTGCTGAATAACGGCAGGAGACAGCCTTCGCTTTGCTTTCTTGCAGATTTTCAACTAAGACACAGCACAAAAGGTTGGCATTGTGTTTGTGAAGAATAAATAATTATGAAGGACAAACACAAAACTCGCACTGCTCCTTTTTCAGTCTCTGCAGGCTCACAGGTAATCATGCCTCTGGCTGCCACACTGCATTGTGAAAGTTGTGGTCTTCATAGATTAAGCTTATAGACCTCAGTGAGAATATATGAATTTCTCAGACTGTGGCAGAGCAATCAGAACCATTTATGCATGAGGTGCTTTCAGAGAGCCTCAAAATTGGGATTATATTAGTAAGAACAGCAGTGAGTTATCCCTTTAACCTCCTAGCACTCCACAGCACACCTGTCAGATTTGCAGTCTTGACTCTTATAAGAATAACCCAGCCACTTTACATTGTATTCCATTAAAATACCGAATAATAATCCTAACTATGCTATAAAAGTTACAGACTTTCTGGTGCTTCAATAAAAAAAGCTTGAGTTTTTAAGACAAATATCAGATACCCGAGCTTACAAAGGTTTGAGCTGAACAACTATTTAAATATTTCAAAAAATTAACTAAACTATCTGGTCATTTAGAACTACCTGTAACTTGGAAATGACAATGCACAGCTGTTCTGTTAGTTTTGAACGATGCCAAGGTAAAAAGTCACATTAAGGCAAAGTGAACATGGGGAAAGTAGTACAGTGAAACAGGAGTGGACCACCACACAAAAGAAACCAAACCGAAAGCAAAACAGAGTCAAACCGAAAGTCAACATGACTTGACCCTTTTCAAAGCACTTCCACAACCAAAACAGTAACCACAATTTAAGACAGTTTCTAAGTAGCACTAAGTGTCCTCTGGTGCTGGTATGCCCTAAACTATAAACCACACATGACTTTCTGAGATTGTGTTCATCAGCTTAAACAAAATAAAGATGTAAAATATATTCACTTATTAAAACTTTTGCTGATACACTTTCAGTCAGACACTGAACTGAACATGTGCTACAGTACATTAACATTATCATGTTTTATAGTTTTGGTTTTTGGTGAAGATTTGATTGCATTTAGCCACAAGAGCAGAAGTGAGATCAGGTACTGATGTTGGGCAATTAATTCTGCATTACAAACACCACTCATCTTTCTGGCAGGTTTTTAATTCATAGTTAATAATGGGAACATTTCCAGTGATAGCTCCAGCCAGGGAGAGGTCATCAAAACCAGGGACGTCTGGTCACCCTGCTATCAACAACAGGAAACTGCAAAATACTGTAAAGTTCTCAGGAGAAACTCAGACGACCGAAGGTTACGATCCAGAACGCAGCTTTATTTTTAATTCGCTGAAAACAGCGCCAAACACAGTGAGAAGAGACACAGCCTCTCCAGTGATAACAGCTAAAAACACAGCCCTCTGCTCTACTCCAGAAAACCACCAGTCCACCTGCATTCAGGTTCTTCAACATAGAAGTCCTGTATGACTGAACCCAAAACAGCCCAACACCGGGGCGGATCTAGAGGCAGGGCCACGGAGGCATTGGCCCAAGAAGAAATCAGATTGGCCCTAAGTGGCCCCCTCCAGAAACTTGCCACCTCCAGTCACATCCATAAACCCGTCAGCCTTCAGTGAAATTCCTGGATTTGAATGGTGAATATCCTACTCATGTGAATTGTGTAGACTGAAAGAGTTTCAGGAGTGCTGCTGGATAAGATTAACTTAGCTAAAGTTACTGGAAATCAGTGCTTTAATGGTGCTGCTAAATGAAATCTCTTCTGTGCAATAGAAGTTTTTTGAGCAGTTAGTTTCATTTTCACAAATACGTCATCTCTCTTCAATAGCTTTAGACTGGTGGGTGCAAAAAGGCTAGTATGAGTAAATGATCATTGTTTGCAACCAAGACAGTCAGGTACCACTTTGTTTCGTCTTTCGCTTACATTGTAAGTGGCGATCATAGGGGTCCAACCACGTGTTAAAAAAATGAAATAAAAAAAATCCCGTTCACTGCTGTGAGCGAGCGTCATGGTAACACGGTGCAAGACAGCATGTATTTCTAGTGTGGCTGCAAACAGTGCTCTGCCATACTGAACCTTTTACTAGAGATCCTTAGTAGGGCCGCTATGTATGCCCTTCGTACCACAAGTTAGACCACCTCCACGAAGCACCGGGTGACCCGTGCATGCACTGTGATATTAAGGCTAGCGGGCCTTGTAGATGTAGCAATGAACACCGCAGCGCTCTTCAAGGAAAGCAGCTAGCCTGGAGATCCAGATTTTATAGCGGATGATGGTGTTCTGAACGACTGAACGATTTCCACTCCCCAACCACAACCCCCACCTCCGCGGGGCGAAGCTTCGAATATCCACTGTTAATTACTGCCAAAGCTCTGGAGCCCAGAAAGTGGTATTCGGGACAGCCCAACTACAACCTGGAGCTCCATAAAAACTCATCTCAAAACAAAATCTCATCTCAAAACAAAAGTATAATTATTTTATTTCTTATTATTATTATTTAATATTTTACCACCGCTTCTTTTCGAACTGCCGCTCACGCAACGTCACTGGACAGCAGAACGCGCTCGGAGGAAAGCGCCAACCGCCAGATCTGTTACGTCAGCTAACAGACGGCTGCGCTGACTAGCATCGCGCTGAGTGATGGGGGGAGAAGGAGGGGCCATCCTACCCACCCAGAGAGAGCGAGGCCAATTGTGCTCTCTCGAACTCCCGGCTACGGATACAAAAGTATAATTATTAAAACATTATCAAGTTATTAATTAAGCAAATTTTTGAAGGTTAACAGTGGCTTATTATTATGGGATGTTCCTTTGCTTTTTAAAGAGAAATTTAACAACCAAAGTAAATCTGAATTTATTGTTGTGCAAAACAGCACAAACAAAACCGAACAATAAATAGACAAAACTGTCAAAACTACTTTCTAAAGCTACACGTGCAGGCCTGGCAAAAAACTGCTGAATGTTGTTTCAATGTCTGAATTTCTACAAAGCTGTGGTTGGCATCGAAATTTCCACCTTTTTTCCCCCCACCTTAAATGGCACCTGTGAAGGTACCTGAATGTTACTGCTGCACCATTTAAGGTGGAACGGAAAATAAGAATTCAACTTAACCTTCATCATATTTCTCAATTAATTTGTCTCATATGTGCATCCTACACACTCGTGCCTCTGACTGTCAGACTGTGCTGGAATTTGGAAAACATTAAAGTCATTA